TATTTTATTTTATTATATTTTAATTATATCAATAATATATTTTTTTAAAATCAAACTAAATAAAAATAATATTTTAATTTTTTTTCCTTTTCAGCAAGCTATATCTTATCATTTATTCAATATAATAATAAAACTACAAGAGTTCATATGCCTAACTTAATAACCAAAGAAGGCAGTACATATAAATATATGAATATTAATAGTAAGACTTTACTGGTTACTCTACTAGTACTTATTAGTAACCTGCTATAAAGTAGATTTAATTTAACCTAGAGTCTAGACTAATTTATTTTATTTCTATTAGTATCACTATATGAGTCTATTTAGCTCATCATAACTTCTTGCTTATATAGTTAAATATTACCAAACTGATAATACTCTTCTATATAGTGAAAAGGAAAAATAAAATTACTATATATAAAGAATTGTATTATTCTATAGTATATACTATATATATAAAGTGATAAACATATAAAGAAAAACAAAAACAAAGAGAAAAAAAAGAAAAGAAAATATTGCTAAAATACTATCTTCAAAGTACTTGAGATTTTTGTAAAAATTATATAAAGTATTAATACTACAATATACTTTATATCTCTAAATTATTAATCTCTATTCTGCTACTAAGAGGTATCTAAATTTGTTACTGACTATACTTGCCTAATTATATGTATTATTGTTTATCTTTGGGTTGTTTGTAAATATATAGTTTTTACTAATTTAGACATAGCATTATTGATCTTTTTTTGAGAATAGGCTGAATCCTCACAAATAAGAAAAAATAAAAATTCAAAGAACTGAGAATAATATACGAATGCAAAAAACCAAATAAAAGTAAGTAAATGTAAAAGTATTTATCCTAGTACAAATACTGTAGTGTGCCTCTTTTTTTATCTCTAAACTTCAAACTTCCATAGCTTCTACTATTTAACTTTAATACTCTACAAGACAAACTTTTAGCTAAAATATTAGAACTATTCACTTTAGCTTTCTATCACTTATTGCCTTAAAGGTCTTATAAGACTATACATTACGTACTTCTGTTTCAAACTAATATTTTACTAGGTTTCTTTGAGTTTAGTACTTGTTTTGTAAAAAAGTTTTTTGCTCTAGTATTAGTTTTGGTAATTAGCAGAAATAATTATGTATTTAATATTGTTTTCTACTTTTATTATCTTTTCTACCTTTTCTAGCTTTTCTATCTTTTTTACTTTTTTTAATTTTTTAACTTTTCTATCTTTTCTACTTTTATTACCTTTATTACCTTTTCTACTTTTTCTATTTTTATTATCTTTTCTATCTTTTCTACCTTTTTTACTTTTTCTAAAAAGCTATATAAACCTTCTTTTTTTTCTTTGTTCTAAATTAGATTTATTTCTTCTAATCTTTTATTAAATAATAATAAATAAGGTCTAGTGATCTTAGTATAGCAGTTAGATTATCAGACTGCTATACAAGAGGTCTAGAGTTTAAATTCTACTATCAACAGAATTGAATAATTATCTAGACATCTGTATTCAACTTATGGTAAACTCTGCCTGTTTCTAGGGTTGTAATCCTGTAAATTGTGTTGTACCAATGCCAATTAGAGTATTAGAAGTATGATAGGGTGTTTGCAAAGGCATAATATTATATGAATAAATCTTAAT